GCTCTGATTGATTTTACCTCCACTGGTTGGGGCTATTGTCCACCTTTGAGGAAGTTTCTACGCTCATCAGATGTAATACATGGTAGAAACAGACTTCATCCCCATCGTGATGGAATATGCAGTCGCTGCTCATACCGAGCTGCAGTTGCCGATGCAACCTGAAGATAGTACCAGTTGCCAGTTCACTGTCGATATTGTCTTTTATCAAACAACACCGCTTTAATAATTTTGAGCAATTTTAAAGGAGAGTGAATAACTACATCATTTTGGTTAATGTTTACAAGTTTTTTTAAACTGTTGTATAATAAGTGCTCTATTTAGGATAACAACAGTTGTGTATGTATTGGTTGTGTTATATTTATTGATATTCTAATTTTGTTTTGACTTAAGTATTTTAAAAAGCTAAATCATTTAAAAAAATATTTTCAAATAATGACTAACACCAAATCTTTGGCTTGGTGTTAGTCATTACCTTAGTCTTACTACTATTCATCGACAAACCAATGTTTTTGCTTTCCATGTTTTTAAAAATATTTTTTTAAATGTTTTAGTTTTTAAAATAAGCATAGATGGGACACCTCTACAAAATGTGGAGTAATATATTAACCTTAATTGTAGCATCTCTCTAAATGATCAAATGTGTAAAGATATTGGGGATAGACTGGCAAGCAGCTGGAAGAAATACTGGACCCTAAAGGAGATAATGAAAAGCAAAGACTTACCTATGGTTGTGAAAAGAAACATTTTCGACTTTGACTTATGGGTGCGAAACATGATCACTAAATGAAGTACATAGAAGCTAACTACAGGCGGGTCAACGAGCAATGGATGTAGCGCAGTATGCTTGGCCTGAGGAAAATTCAAAAACTCAGGAGTGACAGTATTAGGAGACGAACCAGGGTATTCGATGTGCTTTCAAAGATAGATCAGGTAAAATAGAGATGGACTAGGCCTCTGTTTCGTGGCCCGGAAAAATTGAGAAAAGTAGTCAGCCATTGGTACCCACGTGATGGAAAACGTACCTAATAGAGGGCGTCAACATAAAAGATGGGAGGATGAGCTGAAGCTAACTGTAGAACCATGTTGAAGAAGAGTAGCTCTTGATAGAGCGCTCTGGAAAGATCTGGAGGAGGCATATGCCAAGAGGCACGCTGAGTTAAGAGATATAATGTACAAAATGTTATTTATTTATTTAACCACCCATAAATTGTAACCACTCATAAACATCTATTAAATAAAATGTTGACTTAAGTTTTGCTTTTAAGTAAACAATGGCAATGAAAAAGACATCATCAGGTTAACAATTATCGTGCCTTTGTGTTTTGCGGGATTTCAAATAACCAAGTACCTGTATAGATAAAGTGAACATTGTCCAACTAATTGGCTATCAAAAACCAAAATGTTTACTTTTTTGCTTACATAGTTTTGGTAGCTGTTTTACAGACTTATAAAACAATTTTACTAATCAATCACCATTCTGAAAATACTACTCTTTAGAATGGGCAACTTCTCTGACTGCTTTAGCTAAGAATTTTTGTCATATAGAAAATATGGATATGTTAGTATATTGACGGCACAAATTTATAGGATGAATGTGAAGGAATGAGGGGAGGTACGTAAAAAAGGACAGGTTAAAAGTACCAAGAATAAATGGGCATGAAAAACCCCTTGTTACCCGTACAAACCAAATTACTTTGCCAGCACTGGGAGAGGAAAAATTATTCTTGCTGCTGAACCAGGTATTGTAGCAGGAATGTTTTAGAAAAAACTGACACGAATGAAAGGTTTGTA